TGATCACAGTTCCTAACTGGTAATAGGTATTCACCAAATGTTTATTGAATGAATGAACAAATGAATGAATGAATGAATCAATCAATCAGCAGTCATATTAAACTATATTAAGCATAGTTTAATCTTCATTTGATGATTCAAATTAATTCCTACAAGTAACCGGAGCAAAGTATAAAAGATTACTACTTGTGTGGATGCTTAATGACTGAGCATTTATTCCATTTCATATCTTTGGTCTATTTGGAAATTCAGTAACGTGTGTTTTACGTCTTATGTTGCAGGACACTCATCTTGCATTTCTGTTGACAATCTTTTTGGGTTATCACATATTGTTTCCCTTAGTTTAATTAAATTACTTTTGTTGATGAGTTAACATCAATGTGTTTGGTTTAGTTTCTTCACATATATAAAATTACCTACTTTATCATGTACTAGGATTATCTATCCTTCAATCTATTTTTCTCTGTCTAGACGTTCAATAAATGTATTTTGATTGTGGTGATATTATTTGAGTTATATTCCTTTCCTAATGTTTACTTTCATTTTCCCTTTAATCCAATACAGAGAGAAGTCACCACCAAAACAAAAATCAAATTACAATGTAATTCAGACCTCACATAACAAGGCTATTCCCTCTATCTTGAAACTGCACGTTATCTCTGCATAATTTCAGAAGAGTTTGGGAATGCCGTATATACAGTTAAAAAATATAGAATATTTCATTGGAAAAAAATTAAGTCAAAAACAAAGACAAAAATGCCAAAATTCAAACTGAAAATGTTCCTTGCTACTACTTAATCAAGATGATAATGTCTTACGTTTTACAGTTCTTTTCTTGACATATACTCAAGTATTTTCTAATCAAACCTATCATTAAAGCCAAAAATTCCTCTTAAAAACATGAATAGAAATGGAGCACCTGGGTGGCTCAGTTGGTTAAGCGCCCCACTCTTGATTTCAGCTCAGGTCATGATCTCAGGGTTGTAAGATGGAGCCCCACATTGGTCTCCACACTCAGCCAGGAGTCTGCTTTAGGAGTCCCTCTCCCTCTCCCTCTGCCTCTCTTCTTCCCCCAGTGCCACCACTCACATGGGCACTCTCTCAAACAAACAAACAAACCAAAACAAAAACAAAAGCAAAAAAAAAACCACGAATGAGAAATCAAAACATTTAAACCAACTAAAATGATTTTATTTTTCTTAAAAGAGAAGAAAATGACCGCTAACTTTCATGGAAGAAAGTTTTCATTTTTAATCATACTTTTATCCCTCATTTTCTCTGTAAGAGATTTCCAGTTGTGTTTTTTAATTATAAGAAACCTACATTTATAGAAAATCAGCAGGTATCCCCAGTTATCAGAATTAACCGAGCAGAGGAACAGTGCAAAACCAAGGTTTGGAGCCATTTTTCTGAGCAAATTGAGAAGAGGTACCATTTTAGCCAGTTACCCTCTGAGACTGCTCACATTTAATTACATTAGTGGCACTTGACATTATAAAATGTTCCTTTCTTTCAGATAGAACCTTCTATCATCATTAGTAAATGTCAAATGTAATGAAGTGTTTTTCTGACTTCTTTTTCTTCCTGATACCATGGGAGAGAACATGCTAATGAGTTTATAATTCTGAAATTGTTTTCAGTACTCAAAACCAATGAAGAGCCAACTTGGTGCCTGGTTTATTAGCTTAATTTTACTCTTTTTTATTGTCTTTCTATTTGGGAAGGAAAACTACTCTCTTTTTCCTAATACACTACCCCTATTTGGTACAATTTCTTATTTTCCCTGAGAGGTTTTAGGTGACAGCTACCTCCAATTAGATTGGGTTTCTGGGTTCATATCAGAATGGTGTGGAAGGTTAGGGTTAGGGTTAGGGTTAGGGTTAGGGTTAGGGTTAGTCCTTGCTGTGACTTAAGAGCTTCCTGAAAGCTTCTATTTTTTTTCTTGAAAACTGGTTTTTGTCCTCCTCTGTCTACTTTTAAATTTTGATAATGGCTGTCCAACCATGTGGTTTCCTATAATATATCAATCATAATATAATGGGGCCTTGATTTCTGCTCTTGCAAAGATTAAATACACTCACAGACTGAAATGAATGTTTTATAATCCTAGAACTAGTTTCTTTACTGTCAAAATAAAATTAACATCTTGTGAAAAGGAAAGCTATCACCAGAAGAGGTCAAGAAGAAAGAGATGTCACATTTTTCCAACACACCATTATTCAGGGTCTGTGTTGAAGACATGCCTGGCGGGAAGGGTCTGGGTCACCTTTTAGCAGTGCCTCGGGTGTATTGGCTGTTTTCTCCTAGTGAAAAATCAGGGGAAAGCTGTCTGTTATATAGAGAAGGCAACAGGGATGGGGTCCCCAGCCTGTGAAAAGACTATTCAATCAATGCTAAAAAGCTTTTTTTCTTTTTTCAGATTTTTATCTTTTTTAATTTTTATGACTTTAAAAAAATTTTATTGGAATATAGGTGACACACAATGTTAATTTCAGGTGTACAACATAGTGATTGAACAAGTCTATGCGTGATGCTGTGCTCACTACCAGTGGAGCTACCCTCTGTCACCACACGACACTATTACAGTATTGTTGACAAGATAGCCATTTAAAGTTACTTCACAATAAGAAAAAACAAAAAGGTAATTTTATAGATAATGTATTCTGGAAAATAGGCACCCAAGACAAAAGTAGATGTTTTAAAATAAAATGACTAGTTTTAAGATGTTTTGTTCCCCAGGCAGCGGAAATATATTACACAATCTCTGATTACCCCATGCTTTGTAAACATAGTCTTTGGGAATTTGGTTCTCTAAATTTCTTCTTTATTTCACAATTGGATATGCTGTTAATTGAATGAAATCCAATGAATACCTAAGAATATCCACATAAGCTCAAGATTGGCTTCTTTCTGCTTAATAAACTTGATTATTTTTCACAGTTATATGCAGTTTATGATATTCATGTTTATTTCAAACATCTACATTTTCATATATATAAAATACGAAAGTACAATAAGGCATTCAAATAATGTCCGGGAAACTTCTATTAGGTAGGCATGTAATTCTGCAGCATTATTATGCTTGGGATTCAACTCTTTCTACAGATTAATTAGCTATTTATGTGCTTCTATATAAATAATTTTAAAATTAGATTATTTAACATTTTTCTTAGTGATTTCTAGCACCATTTGACATATTAAAGATAGTAATCTTTGGTCTCTCTGGTACAATGCAAATATATTTCCCACTTTATTTGATTATGTACCATTTTAATTTTATTTATACCTTTTTTATATTCAAGGAATTGTCAAATTTTCATGTAGTAAAATCTGCATTTTCCTTTTTTGTTTTCTGCCAATGGTGATATGTTCTGAAAGATCTTTCCCACAGATTTTGCTCTATTTTTGCTATTTTGGGTACCATAATTTGTTTCCATCCTATCTTTGGAACCTTATATCCCTAATATCACCACATAAATATCTTCTTCTAGTCAGGCCAATCTCATCCCTGGTCCTATTGTTGGTTTCATGAAAAGTCAGCTAATTCTCAACTTTGTCTTCATGCCCCCCTGTTCTCCTGGAATCATTTGCTGATTTCCTCAGCCTTCTTTTGTCACCCTACTCTGAAATTGCCAGGGGCTGAATAAAATATACCACACAGATTAGGAGAAAATTTTAAGCAACCTCAAGTTTGTCATGGGTTAGTCTATGGTGGAGTGTAAGCATCCAAGCTGGAGAACACCTGTGGGTGAGGAATAGCATATCCAACATGAGCCCATCCCAAGAGTGAGACCCAGGAGATATTAGTTTCATTTGGGTGATAAGGAACCTATTCTTGTGTCATCCAACTCATTAGCTTCCCCTCCAAGGGCTACTACATCTTAAGGGGAGCTGGGATATACTCCATGTGCAAAGGAGGCATCTCTGGGAGAAGAGTGGAAAGAGGATCCAGACTAAAGTCTGAAAGAAGATAATGTTTCGGTCCAAAGTGCTCAGCACCTAGAGTACTAAGAAAAAGAAATCAGAGCCCGATCTCCAGGGAAAGTGGTGAAAGGGAAAACCAAGGAGCATGGTGTTATAAGCCATAGCCCAGATCCTGAGAAGACAAAGGGACAAGAGACAGTTGAATCGAGGAATAATTTCTTGAGCTACGTAACATATGCAGGTGACTTTAGCGATGTGTCTGCTATATCCCCAGATTTCACTATTGCATGCCATCTCTTTGGTAGGTGCTGAGCCTCTGTATTTGTAAGCTGCTATCTCCCGCCGTACACTAGCTTTGCCTCCCCAACTTTTAGGAACAGCAGCCAGCACTCAGCATTTATTGACCACCGTTTGTATGCCAGGCTCTGTGTGAAGCACCTCAGATACACTGTTTCACGTAGTCCTAACAAACATGCTAAATCTTTGAGAAGTTTAGTTACAGAGGTTTAGTGGCTTGTCCCCGTTGCTCAACTATGTAATAGCAGAGCAGGAACTCCAGGTCTGTTGACTCAAATATCCACACAAAGCAGGTATTTTTATTCTCATTTTACAGTTAAAGAAAGTGAGATTGACCTGCATGCTTTTAAAAGCAGGGAACTGTTCATAAAACTCTTCTTTTCCTCCATAGTGGCTTGTACTTAGATAGATTATAAATACCTAATGCTGGAGCTAATGAACTCTTCTAGTTTTAAACTATACAAAAAGCTACAGATTTTCATATGTATAATCTTTTTATTTTATTATCTAGAGTTATCTGCTGCTTAACAGGAATGAACATATGTAGAAGGTATTTTGAGCTAGATCTTTACCAAAAAAAGAAAATCACGAGGGAAAACAAGACTAAAAAGATATATAGTGATACATTGCAAGTACAATGTAGACTCTCTATTGTGACTGTTTCTGAAATAATCACTTCCCAAAATATATGTTGCCTTGTTTTTTGAGATTATTATTTTATAATAAAAATATATAATTAAAATTATATAATAAAAATATTAAAAATTGTTATTTTTTAGGACACAGCAGGCCAGGAAAGATACCGGACTATCACCACAGCCTATTACCGTGGTGCCATGGGCTTTATTTTAATGTACGACATCACAAATGAAGACTCCTTCAATGCGGTACAGGATTGGTAAGTAAGAGCGAATACTCCCATTGCTAGTAATAATGGAGTTTTCATACTTCCTCTTCCTCCTCACAGCAGTGACCAGTGTCACTATGTGTGTTTGTTGTGTACTGTGATCCCCCTTGTGCTTCATAAAGCAGACAAATACTGGCTATGCTCAGAGTCATTGTTTAGAGATTGGGAAGAAATCCTTCTGGCGATTTTTCTACATTCTGTAACTTCCAGTGCTTTGCAACCTGTTATGCTGAGTTCCATGGAGACTTTTGATTTTTTTTTTAAATATAAATAATGAATGGTTTGGAAATTTACCGGTCTAAAACAGGGATTTGTAAACTGTGGGCCTAATCTGGCCCACCATTTGTTTTGTGAATAGTTTTATTAGAACATAGCCAGGCTCATTTCCTTATCGTCTGTGATTGCTTTCACACACAACAGCAGAGGTAAGTTGTTTTAACAGAAACCATAGAGCCCACAAAGCCTGAAACATTTCCTATCTGGCCATTGACAGTAAAAGCTTGCTGACCCCTTGTCTAGATTTGTTAAATAGTTTTTAGTTTTTCTTCAAGTTGAAAAGTTTCAAAGGACTGAGATAAAGGCAGAGATAAAACCCGAGCATGTTCTGACTCATGGCTACATCAGCTGTGGAAAAACCCCTCTGTCCGTGGGGAGTATGACTGGCAGTGGAGACCTTGTGCGGCTTCCGTCAACCTATTCCCCCCAGCACCTTGGGAGGACAGGTGGAAGAGCTGATGGTCATGGTCAAGGATTCAAGCAGCAGGGCTGAGCAGAGCTGCTTTCCTGTGGCAAGAGCCAGAGTCCAGCTAGAGCTTTGTGTGGTAGGAGGAGGAAAATGGCGCCCCCACTGCTGGCAGCAGGCCTGAACAGCCATCACATTTTAACTGCCAGCGGTCACAGCCGGGCTTCTGTATGAGAATAGTAGCCCCCCAAAAGTGAAATAAACTGCATTCATTTTTTTTTTCTGTTTTGCATCATAGTATTATCCAAAGTATTTTTTTTATGTGTATCATCTCAATGAAGGTCAGATGCTATTAAAAACTTTAACTTGCTTTAGATTATTTCTTTTAAATTTTAATTGTTCATCTGAGAAAACACCTACATCTCTTCTACTTACACACACAGATGCACACACACAGTGCAAGAAATAATGCATTTACAGTAGCCTCTCAAAAAGGAAATATATAGCTATAAACTGAAAAGGGTGAGCTTGGGACTATATGAAAAAGTAATTGTCTTCCACTGAGGCACATAAAAGAAGGCCTAAGTACTCTTCTTTTTAGTAGACTGAATATTGTAAAAATGCCAGTTCTTCTCATATTAATTCATGGATTCAAGGCAACCCCAATTAAATACCGACAGGTTTGGTATAAAATGGAATGAAACAAAGAGTCCAAACATAGACACAAATCCATCTAAATTTAGTTTATGATGAAAGTACCATTTCAAACTAGTGACAGAAAGGTTTGTTCAGTTAATAATGTGGTGATATCTAATTAATTTTCACACATAGCTCTGGCATACATACTGCTATGCAAAATGGTCATTTTGACTTTGATTCTTTCCTCTGAGGAAACGTTGAGACCCAGTGCTTCTGGACAGGAGGTGTTCATGAATCACTTTCCAAACTTCAGGGTCCCAAATGCTGTTTGCACCCATAATTCTCATCCTGTTGTTTCGATGAATGTTATATGACTACTGAGAATACCAAGACTTGAGTTCGTTAAAACCAAATGGCAATAAGACCAATAACCAAGCTCTCTATACTTCCGGTTCTAGCATGAGAAATGATGTGGAGAAGTTCAGCTTCCGCAAGCCCTACCCCACATCTTCCCTCGCTCACCCCAGCCAACCCAGCTTCATCCCCACCAATGCTTCCTCACCTGTGAACAGACCACCTGCCCTTACCAGTCTTCCTCTGCCTGAAATTCCCTATTTGACTGTTACCACTCTTCTTTTCTGAAGCTCTGTTTCCCACCCTCCTTTTTTTTTTTTTTTTTTTTTTGAAGTGTGTTTTCCAGATTATTCTCGTCTCTCCCTAGGACTGCTGCTCTTTCTACTTCCAAGATTTCCCTCACCCAGCCAAGAGTAAGCATACCCCCATGGTTTGTTCTGTCGGGCTCATTTTTACTTTGCGTGGCTAGCCTATCCTCTCACACACATCATTTATCATTCACACCGGATAGCTCCCAAGTTTACATTTCTGGCTCCAGTCTGCGTTCTAAACTGCAGTGTTGCATTTCCAGGTGCCCAAAATATTTCTTCACCTGGCTATCCTGCTGGTGACTCAGAATCAATTATCTCCGCCTAAAATTGCTCACCTTCCTGACATCATTATTTCTTCTCATTGACACCACAACACTCCGTCACCCAGGGTCCGCCCTGAATCCAGTTTTAACCTCCAACCATCCCAATCTGGAACTTGATCTTGCGTGTTAATTTTTTCTGAATATCTTTTGATTCTGCTGCTGCCTCTCCATTCCTACGGTGACCATCATGGCTCTTCTTCTTATTATGGTTTGCTTCTACCCTCACAGCAGCCTTCTAACTGATCTTTCTCCCTTTAGATTTCTTCCTGTCCCACACCATCCTGTCCCACTGCTGCTATAAGAGTCTTCCAGATGAACATAATCCTAAAGACCACTGCAAGGCCCTGCCCAAAAGCCATGACTTACCATCACCTACTGAATTAGTTAAAACTTTTTCAGCCTGACTTTCAGACATACCACATCGTGGAGCCACTGTACCTTTACAGTCCCTTCTCACTATCATAGAGGCAAACTGATCTATTCACAGTTTCTAGAACCCAGCCTTAACTTCCTAAACTTTGTGGGGTTTTGCTTTGATATCACCCCCTGCTTTGCGTATCTTCTTCACGGCCTATCCCCTCCATTCCCTGGCACATCTAGATCTGTCAAAAACCAACAAAACTGATCCTTACTCCTTTTTTTCCGCCCCCAATTGTATGATCATTATTATTAGGGGGATTTTATTCACTCCACAAACATCTATTGAGCACCCCCTCTTTTGACAATCTGCCAGACATTGTATTTATGCCAGCATTTACTATCCCAATTAATGGATCCACCCTCATCCAGTTATCTGATATAGAAATCTAAGCAGTGTTTTTGATTTCTCTCTTTTACACATCACATCTCATTGACCACCAAGTCCAATAATTTTGACTTTCTAAATGCCTCTCAGATCTATTCTGATTCTTCGTTGCCACTGTCTTCACCTGGATTGTCATTGGCTTTCATCTGCTTTACAAACCTTCTGTCTTGTCTTTTTACCTTTAGGTCCCACCCACTCCACATCCTATATCACACGGCCATCAGAGCTAATGAACCTTAACATGTCTTTTTTTTTTTTTAAGATTTATTTATTTATTTTGGAGAGACAGAAAAAGAGAGAGACGGAGAGCGTGTGAGCAGAGGGGAGGGGAAGAGAGAGGGGAAGAGAATCTCAAGTAGACTCCCTGCTAAACGCAGAACCCGACACAGGGCTCCATCCCACGACCCTGAAACCATGACCTGAGTCAAAACCAAGCATCAGATGCTTAACTGACTGAACCACCCAGGAGCCCCAAACCTTAACATGTCTTAAAAATAAATCTTCAGTGATAAATCTGGCCGTATGTATTTTTGAAACCTTCGCAAGTGATCCTGAAGCCCGTTTCTGATTAAGGCCTTTGGTTTCGAACGAAATCCAAACGTGGTAAACAGTATAGCCTCCACCCACATGTGTCACTAGCATCATCTCCTACCACTCTTCTCCACTGGTCCCATATTTCAGCCAGACAACTTTGCTCAAATTACAGATGTTTGATCCCTCTAATACCTCTGTGCCTCTGCTTAGAACACCTTCTCTGTTATGTTTCCAACTCTTTTTCACCTTTTAAAGCAGCTCAAATATCAACTCTTGTATGAAGCTTTTGAAGATCCTGCTACCCCCTTTCCTATGCACCCGAATTTCCAATCCCAGTGGACAATGCTCGTCATACCCTTATGTTTGCATTCACACTACCCCAGCACTTTTCTAAAGACCACCTACAGAACCTAGTATACTCTGTTTTTATTTGATTACATTTTTTCTTCTGTATTAGACTGTGAGTTCATTAATCTTGTTTCTTGAGTGCTGAATACAATACAGTCCTATAATTTTTTTCTGAATTTTTATTGTAAAATATACATAGCAAAATATACAACCTTAACCATTTTTTAAGTGTACAGTTAGTGGTATTAAATGCATTGTTAGTGCTGTCACAACCATCACTACCATCCTTCTCCAAAACCCTTCATCTTGCAAAACTGAAATTCTATACCTTGAAAATAGTAACTTCCCCTTCTTTCTTCTCCTCAGCCTCTGGCAACCACCATTCTACTTTGTATCTCTATGAATCTGACTATTCTAAATACCTCATATAAGTGGAATCATAAAGTAATCTCTTACTGTACAGTAATACAATGCATATTTTGGACGGATGATCCAAAGAACTATAGAGGTTCACATCCTTTGTTGATATCCCAACAGAAAATATAAAATTACTTCAGACTGACATAGTCGGGATTGAATGGTTCTATTCTTCCTCCCAACAGAAGATTTAATATTGTTATATCCATCACTGCTATAGGATTAATCATATTCAACTTTGTGTTGTTCTGAAGATATACTTGTCTTAAGTTCTTAATAGATTGCAAATTATTTGCAGAGCAATAATATGTCTAACTTGTTTGTGTTCCCTACTTAACATAGGTAACGTTACAAAACAGGTATTTTAAAAATTATTCTTACCTGAAAAAACTGACCTGTCAAAAACCTTGGAAAATGTTTAAGGAATAAAAACAGAATGGCATAGTAAGAAAAGAAAACTGTTTAGGAAAAAAAAAAGTCCAGTTCAGCATTTCATACTTGCTTTACATATATGGCATTAGTAAGTAGTACTCGGGAAAGAAGGGAGCTTGGTGGCATTCAGTGGTGACTTTCTATAC